GTTTTAGAAAATCAAAAAACATCACAGATGCATTGTTCGAGGTTAATAAAGATATAAATTTGGCCATCAGTAGAGGCAGGCGTGTTATTCTGGTATTTTTTGACTTGGCCAAAGCTTTCGACTCAGTGGATAGATCGCTCCTTTTAAAAAAATTAGAACTGATAGGTGTTAAAGATGTAGCTCTGCAATGGTTCCGATCTTATTTTGATAATAGAAAGCAGTTTGTAAATATTAATGGAATCAATGGAAATCTTGGTAATGTAGATTTTGGGGTGGTCCAAGGTAGCACGTTAGGGCCTTTACAATTCTTAATTTACATTAACAATCTTGTGAAATTAAATATTGAAGGTGATTTTTATCTTTTTGCTGACGACACATTATTATTATTCCAAGGCGAAACTTGGGACTCAGCTTTTGCCAATGCCGAAAGAGGCGTGTCAAAAATAAAAAAATGGTTTGATCAGAATGTGTTAACGCTCAATGTCACTAAAACAAAATTTATTCCATTTTCATTTTTATGGTATAGCCTCTGGATCACTGATTTTTACAATAAAAAGGTTTAAATTACCTGTATCCGTCAAGTGATCCTGGTTTGTAGTTAATTGACTACAGCCGTTTCATGTTGTAAAAACACATCTTCAGGTCAAACGTATATACATTGATTTAATCCATGGAATGGTCGTCAAGGTTTAAAGTTCACAAAAATGACACATACACGTACACGAAAACATTAAAACATAAATTGGCCAACACAAAAATATGAAAAACGCGTGTTAGGCATCGGACACGTACGGCGCCGCTAGAAGGCTATGAGTCATGACCTACCTTCTAGCGGCGCCGTACGTGTCCGATGCCTATCACGCGTTTTTCATATTTTTGTGTTGGCCAATTTATGTTTTAATGTTTTCGTGTACGTGTATGTGTCATTTTTGTGAACTTTAAACCTTGACGACCATTCCATGGATTAAATCAATGTATATACGTTTGACCTGAAGATGTGTTTTTACAACATGAAACGGCTGTAGTCAATTAACTACAAACCAGGATCACTTGACGGATACAGGTAATTTAAACCTTTTTTATTGTAAATTTATTCCAATCTCCTTAAGAGCTCGAGGTGACACACTTCGCAACGAAATAAAAATTCATTCTTGTGGTCATGAAATCGGAAATAGTTGTCCCTGCCCAGTAATAAATCGAGTTCAAAATTATAAATATCTTGGAGTTGTGTTTGATTCTAAATTGTCATGGGCAGATCACGTGTCATATTTAAACAAAAAGTTAAGAAAACTGATTTTTGCTTTTCGCCAACTGCACCATTTTCTTGAAATGGATGAAATTAAAAATGCATATTTTGCTTATGTACAGTCGCTGCTTGAGGGGGGGATAATTGCCTGGGGTGGTGCTTACAGCAACATTCTGCAACCTCTCGTTGTAACACAAAAGGCAATTATAAAAGCGGCACTTGGCAGGGGTAGGCAATACTCGTCGGATGCTCTGTTCACTGAAATGAATGTACTTGATTTAACGCAACTATTCATCAGAACAGTTTCGATGTTTATTTTCAAACACCACGAGTCACTCTTTGTTCGTCCACAACATGACCATAATACTCGACATGCACTGGGCCAGGGCATACGCTTACCCAGACTTACAAAGACATTTTCTACAACTAATTGCCACTACGTTGCACACATCATTTACTCTAACCTTCCACTAGACTTACGAGACTTCGACAGACACACAATTACAACGTACAAAAAAAACATTGTTCACTGGCTCAATCTCATTGGTAGGGATGGAGCTAATAGATTATTAGTTTCCATATACAGACAATAGCTTACAGCTGGTACAGCGTGTGATTGTGTGTGCGCGCGTGAGTGTGCCTTGGTGAGTATGTGCGTGTGGGTGTGTGTGTATGTGTGTGCAGTTCTCGATTCTGTGGCACAGGGACAGAGCATTGACGGCCCTAGTACCCTAGGGCTACCAGCCGCTTGTTGGTGTTGGGACGAGGACAGCTGAGTGTATCTGTGTGTGGTAGTGTGTGTGTGTGTGTGTGTGTGTGCGTGTTGTGTGTGGAGGGGGGAGGGGGGCGTTTTGGATTGTTAATGGTAGGGGGAAGTCAACGAGTCAATCTGACATCACTATCTATGTTCCTATGCGATTAGCCAAAATTCCGCTAGCGCTTTGTAATCATGCCAGTAATTAGAAGTTTTTTGATTTGTTTTTTAATAAATATCAAAGTTTCTTTTTCTTTCTTATTAGGCTGCAATATAAAACGACTCACTCCCACGCACGGGTTTTCCCATGTGGGTTTAATTTCGTATGATTTAAGGAATTTAGTTATAGTTCTATTGTAATACATTATTTGTAAAAACTGTAAAAAAATTATTTTATACGGAATAAAAGAAATTTTGATTTGATTTGATTCTGGTCCTGTCCATCGACCCGAAGATGGCGGCCAGGATAACCAGGGACCGTCCACTGACAGTGGCCTACAGTTTTGACACAGTCACGCTGAAGCTGAGGGGCAAGGGTCCGGAGGAGGGAGCTGGTCAAGCGGCTCCCGCAGCTCGGCCTGAGCCCCCATCGTCCACCGTCACATCAAACGCTGAAGGGGAGGCCACCGTCCCCCCAGCACAGCCACCAACTGCTCCGCCAGCGCAACCTCCAACGGCCCCCTCGGCAACAAAGGGGAACACGCCACCCTCAACCCCCACTTCCATGGTGAGGTCAGTGGAGACAAGGAGGGGTGAAGAAAGGAGAAGCGAAGACTACCGGCACTTCCCTATCTTTGATAGGAGAAACTCCCAGGAAAGGAGAGAGGAGAGGCACAGGGGTCCCTCAACGACCAGGAGAGAGCAGCACTGGCCAAGGAGCCGCTACCCTAGACAAGGGGATTGAAGAGGGTCCCACTACCGAGAGAGGAGGGGTAGGAGTGACCCCTCAGACAGGAAACGGGAATGAAGTCCCGAATTATACAGGCCAACCTCATACAGCCAGGGCCCAATTATACAGGCAGGAGGTTTGCCACCGAAGGGCTCGACATTGCCCTCCTTCAAGAACCCTGGGTAAGAAGAGGAACGATTCAAGAACTTCCAACCCAGGTGGGTAAGCTGGTATATGATAGGGGATCTGCTAACCCAAGGGTCTGCATCCTGATGAACCCTAAACAACGTTTGTTCAGCTGTTTCAGAGTTCATCAGCCGTGATTTGGTGACAGTCCAAGTCGACTTAGACTCCACAGCAGGGAGGCAAAAGGCTTTAGTAGCCTCAGCCTACTTCCCCAACCCAGGAGAAATGAGTACATGAGTACTACGGTAATAGCTTATTCCCTATATGGGAAATTCGCTAAAAATGAAAAAAAACTAGTGGGCGAAGTGGCACTTTGCTGTACACAAAGAAAGGCGAGTGTGGAAAGTTTCTCGAGTGCAGCAGAGGCAGTTCGCACTCGCGTTACACATTATATTTTTCCTACAGTTAATCTGTGTAAAAACTAGGGATGGTCAAGTCCCGAAATTTCGGGAAATTTTCGGGAAAAAAATATTGATTCGGGAATTTTTCGGGACGGGATTTGATCCGATTGTCGGCGATTTTGCCTCTTCGCGAGTGACGATGACGCTGCTATCGCGAGAGATGTTCACGATTGTTCCTCAAGCGCAGGAGGCGAAGTTATTTCGACGATCGCGCCGTGATGGGGACTCATACCATCAATCACGTTGTTATCGCGGTGTCATACCAATGATTCCGCCGAGACCGCGAGTCATACCGACAATCCTGCCATGACCGGGGGTCATACCGACGATCACGCTGTGATCGAGTTGACATAAAAGCACGCTGTTTTGTGTTGTTTGGTTGGAATACTGGTGTGCGGCAAAAGTAAAAAGTGTGAGGCAAAAAGTAAGAAGATGCATCAATTAGCAACTTTCTGTGCTATAATCAGTGTAAGGAAGACCACCTTGTCAGTTGACTGTAGGAAAATCATACTTTATTGTTGTTAAGGATCTACTAACAAAATTTTAAAACGACCCAGCGAGAGCATCTTTGTGTGTGCGTGTTTTTTTTTAAGAGGTTGGAAAGCTTTAAACTTGAATTTATCCATCCACTAAGGCTTCCCGCCAGTGCATTTGGAACATGTCCATTAAGCAAGGAGTGCAACAGTACAGTAAAGAAAGAGTGGATCTGTACTGATAAAATTTAGTGGTGGGCAGGGTTGTATATTTTAGAATCTATGAGGCCCCGGCGGCCTCACACCAGAGATTCACCTATATTCCGATTCTTCTGGCTGGAGCTTAGAAATACACGTAATATTAACTCAACTCAATGACCTTGACCCTTTGTTTTCAAAAATATGATCAGCAAATAGACCTAAGAGGCTAGCTATAATACAAAAAAATATATAATAATAATAATAACAACAGGAGTCTGCAGGCCAGACTTGTTGTTCGAGTCGGGTCAAAAAAGTTGACCTTTGGATCGCGGGTAAAAACAGGGTTGCTTTAAAAAGTTTTGATTTAAAAGACATTAATAATTGTTTGTTATACTAAAAATTTGTCTTAATGAGTTTTGCAATAGCAACCAAATCGTAAACCCCAATAGAAAATTAAAATGAACTAAGCTGTTCTTGACCACGACGAAATCATGATTGTCCTCTGCAGTCCCATCATTATCGTGGGCATCTTCCGCAATCACTAAGGAATCGTGAACATCTATCGCAATCGCAGGGACGTCATCATCGTCTCCTGCAATCGTGGCAAAATCGTAATTTTCAATTGTGCAATCTTCGCAGACATTTTTGGCAATTGCGTGAATAAAAGTTCAGTTCAAAAATCAAACATCCTAATGGATTATCAAAAAAATCAATTTTTCAAGTGAAATAAAATTTCCTTTGAGGCTCCAAGTGAAACCCCCTTATAGCACGGGGGAACTTTTTTTGCTAAGCAGAGTCTGGAAATAAAATTACTTTAATTAGTGTTAAATCAAACTAGGAGTGTATATACCTGTTTTACAATAAGGGGCTAAGTATCCCTCTTCACATGATACACAATAGCCAGTGTAGATGTCACAATGGCCGTCCCCGCAGTGCCCGCATTGTTGAGAACAGTCATTGCCATACCAACCCAAAGTGCAGGCTAAAATAAGAAAAAATTAAGAGAAATGTTAAATAAAAATAAATAACCCGCCGCAGCATACCTGCCGTCCAAGCGAATTTCCATTTGCCTAAATTGATTTTCAATTAAATCTAATCAAGGTAACATTAGGTTTAACGAATACCTAGGTTTGCTGCTACAAGGAAACTAATAAAGTGTGTATTTTAGTAAAATTTAAATAGCTTAGTATAAAATAAATAAATTTGTCAAGTTTGATAAAAATATATCCATCAACAAGCAAACTACAACATTTTATGATATTCTCCAAAAGAATAACACGGGAATTTTAAAATAACAATTTTTTTATTTTCTCCGTAACCAATAATTGTACAAAAACACTTTGATATACTAAATTATTTGTTTTTAAGCTCTTTGAAAAGGTCTGGAGAGAAATCGGGAAATGTTGTTTTTAGAAGGTAAAAAATTAGAAAAACCCATTTTTACCCCACAAAACCCCCGTAAAACCCCGTTAGCATGGTCCGATCATACTGGTTTGCAAACTCATCCAAGTTTATGCCGCCTTAAACCTTCAAACCAAATTTCATCAAAATCGGACAAAAATTACTCAAGTTATCACATTCACAGACGTATCTAAATATATAAAAGGCAAAGCCCTCACTGACTCACTGACTGACTGACTCACTCACTCACTCATCACTAATTCTCCCACTTCCCTTTTACCTAGGAGGCTGAAATTCGGTACACTGATTCTTTGGGCATTACATAGGAAAACTAAGTAGTTTTTATTCTTACCGGACTCTCGGGCTCCACCCCAGTGGCTCTGGAGTTTTTCATATTCAAAAGGAATTAATGAATCTTAACAGCTGTTTCAATTAAACAAGTTGGTTCTGTTCTATGATGTGCAATAGCTTTAAAGTTACAAGGATTACCAACAGGGTGCAGCACTATATATATTTTTGAACATTTATAACAACAGCTAATTTGCAAACAAAAGGTGAGTGAGCGTAGCGAACGAACTTCAACCAGGACGTGATTGAGGCATGCAAATACGAATATGAAGTTATACGGGGCAAAGCCCGCGGGTACAGCTAGTATACATATATAACAAATATTTAAACAAATTGTGTTTTTGACCTCTTGGAACATCAAAATGAAAAAGTAAATCGGTTCCGGGCCTAAGTCTTACCCTGCCACCTACGGTAATAGCTACCTCTCTATAGGGAAATTCGCTTATAAAGTAAAATTTTTTTCAACAGTAGCACAATCATACATAATTATAAATAAGAGGTTAATGTACCTGAATTCGTCTTGTGAGTCCATTAGTTCCTCTCGGGTGAATTCCGATCGTTACGGTGGACCTCGATATGAGTAAAAATTTATTGATATTTTTGACGAGGATCGGAAGAAGGCGACAAAGTCGACGAAACGATTGTAATACACCCTAGAGGAGGTAAAGGAGTCACAAGACGAAATTAAGGTACATCAACCTCTTATTTATATGTTAAGTGACTCGAGACTACACAAAAATGAAAAACCAAATCCATACAAAAAGCACAAAACAAAAAAGGCTTCTTGCAGCAAATAGGGTTCTATATAAGATTTTTATATCTTTATATTAATATACAAGCATGTTTCTTGAAAACCTGTTTCCTCAGCTCGTGTGCATCGCAGGGAATATCTACGTATACCGTACTCTGGTAGAAAGATATTTTCCTGAAGATGTGCAGAATCCCTTCATAAATTAAAATAGGCTCGAAAATAAAAACACAAAAATGAATTTAAAACAAAAAAAAATAACATGGACCTTATGGGTTGCCGGTGACGAAACAACAATGAAATATAAACAGAAAATCAAAACAAATGTAAGAAATTGCAATCACATGTTTTATTTACAGCGAAGGGTGAAAATAGAGAAATCTGTAAATTACACATTTTTGGTTGAGTTTTCAACCACTGGACGACCTCTAGCTAGTAGACATTAAAGGACATGCACCAGAAATATATTCTTCAGCTATACCCTAATAAAATGAATATTTCTTTTTTGAATCCATAATTAGGATTTAAAAGGGGGTTTGGAATTTAAATTTATGAAAAGCTTTATACATTTTTTAAACTTCAGGAGAAATAAGGTTTTTGATCAATTTGGTCAAAAATATTGTACTGTATGTCAGAAATGATTATTCATACGTTACGATTTAAATTTAAAGAATGGTAAAACTGCATTTGAAACACACAACAAAAAAAAGTTATAAATGCTACGTGTAAATTAACCCTAGAGTGTGTTCTAGAAGACCAACTAACTAGAGAATTAACATGCCATGTGATAAGTTTTAATTTATTTATATTTTATAATTATTTTTAAGTTTTAAAATTCATCCATCCACCGTAAAAAATCTACCATAATGATTTTTGGTTTATAATCAACATTTTAATATACAAATGCAATCAACAAACAGAAAAATTTTCTTGTCCAAAGGTTTGCTGTGACGGGAATTACAAAGATTCAAACCTTGAGTGCAGTCGGGTCCCTGGTAGCCTGGAGCGCATTGACATCCTGTAAAATTGTTACACAGCAATAGTCCTCGACACTCTTGATCGTGGTAAGAGCAAAAGCCCTCACAGTCCCGACCAAATCTGTTCCTACCACACCCTGTAACAAACATCATTGTAGTTGTTGGTTATCTTTTGTAGAGCAAACTTTTCCAAGAAAAACTATACCCAGAGCTGGCTTTGGGTAGTGCAGTGCAGGCCTAGTGCAAACAATCACAGCAGGGCCCCTTACTACCATAAAATGTGTACCAGAGCAATATAATTACTAACAAAAATTTCAATGAATAATATTAGTATTTCTACTCCCCCTTTTTCATTTTTCATAACTGACATAATGTTTAACGCACACACTTTTTAAGATTTTTTGTATTTTGCACTGCCAAATTTCATAAAATGGAGAAAAGGTCTAGTCTGTAGCTCTGTACATATCCACACACACACACACACACGCACACCCACACACCCACACACGCACACAAACACACATACACAGTCATACAGACAACATTTTGATTACAACTTTTTTTGGGGTTCTGTCAGGGAGACCCAAAACAGATGTCTCTACCCAAATCTCAAACTTTGAATCTAGGAAATGCGTTGGAGAAATATACTTACCAATTTCACAGTTTGTCCCACTAAAGCCTGGAGTACATGCACACCCTGCAGTGGTTAACTTTCCACCATTCCAGCAATTGTTGGTGGAGTTTGTAACTGGTTTGATAACATCTACAAAACATTAAGGTTAAATATAGTTGATATTAAACGTTTGTTACAAAATCCGATAACCAGTAAAAAGCAATTTTAACTGACGATTTTAAAATATAAAAAATATTTAAAGATGACTAAAACGTAACAAAGCCACACAGATCATCTCACAACATTCTACACTCATCATTCACTCATATTTGGGTTAAAATACGCTCCTAGGTGGCGTCCCCATCTAATTTATAATTGATAATTTTTACTTAATTAATAACTTCACTGCAGCCTAAATCTTTGGAAGTTTCATTGAGTTTTAAAATTTTCAACCTTGTTTTACATAATAAAAAAAAAACAATTTATCAGTCAAATTAAGGTATTAGAAAACTTAAACAACTTTTAATAGCAAATTTCAAACCAATAATTATTTTAACAACTGTAAAACGTAGGGCAGTTTGTTTTTATGATTAAAGAAATATAAAGTGGAAATTAGTTCTCTGTAAACATTACCAAAACGGTTAGGTTTATACTCAATGCCAAAACTAAACATGCTCAAGATAGGCTTTATTTTACGATGGGATGAGGGTGGGAAGTCTTCTGGCACAATTTAAAGTAAATGGTATAAAGGTATTGCTTATGATGGCAAATATTATATTTTATATTATTTATTTATTTATTTATAATTTTTTATTAATTTCAATTATCTTAAATTTTATTATGTTTATGTATTCTGTAAATAATACAAACCAAGTTACTGATATACTCGTCAGTAATGTTTGGATAATACCGACTGACTCACCAAGTTGCATTGTGTTCTGCTGAAAATTGAGCCCCTGCTTCCTTGATGTTAATATTTACTTTTAATTTCACCAGAAAAATAGCCCTGAGAAGTTTTTTGGGATTCAGAACACATTCACAATTAAAAACATTTTTGTATGTCGAGAGAAAATAAACCTGCTGCTTGATGTAGGTGAAATCCACTCTTGATAATAATCATTATTTCTACTTAAATTAAGTAAAACATTGATCAGTAGGACTAATTTACCTAATATACTGGCAACAGATGTATATGTTTTCACTGAGCTATGTAGAGTTGAGGTTGTTGAGGAGGCTTTACATTGAGATGGCAAAGTTGCTGCAGGCAGTTCAATTACTTCTTCACCTTGAATAAAAGACATTGTACTACAATTCAGTTCAGTGTAAAAGATAATACCCTCGTTGCAGCAAACCTGCAGACCATTTCCATTTGCCTGATTGGAATTAAATCTTTTAAACAACATTAGTTTTAACAAGTACCTAGGTTTGCTGCTATATCATGGAGGGTAATTAAGTGTGTGTGTGTGTGTGTTTTTTTTTTTTTTTATATATAAATAGCTTAGCACAAAATACATAAATTTTACAAGTTTGATCAAAGTATAAACAAGGGAACCACAAATATTTACTTATTCTCCATAAAAATGATATAGAAATTTTTAATTTAGGCTACCTTTTTTTTCCGTTGTCAATAACTGTAAAATCACACTTCAATATACTAAATTATTTGTTTTTTAAGCTCTTTACAATGGTTTAAAGAAAATTGGGAAATTTTATGTTTCTGGGGTCAGAAATTTGAAAAACCAATTCTTACCCCATAAAACCCCATTCCCGTGGTCCGATCATGCTGGGTAGTAAACCCATCCAAGTTTATCCCGCCCTACATCTTCAAGCCAAACTTCATAAAAATTGGACAAAAATTACTCAAGTTATCACGTTTACGGACGTATATATACAAATTTATATACAGGGGTAGTTTTAAATGAGTTCCCACCTACTTTTTTCTACATTTTTTAAGATAACACCTTCGGACCACAGCAGATCATTGTAGTAAGTACTTAATTTTGACTGGGTATAAATGTTAAGCCGCCATATTGGATACAAAGTTTCTTTTTCAAATTAATGTAAAAGTAGGGTTGTACCCATGATTTCAAACGAGAATTTTACGCTGAGTACAATGGCAGAATTTGTGTTTCAAAATATTGATCCGTTGAAAAGTTATAATGAATTTTCCAAAAAATAATTTTAGAACCAGTTCCTTTGCTAGAATAGGAAATAACTCTACCACCCAACATTATTGGGTCATATTTTCTTCTTTTTGGCGAATTGGACATTTTCAGCCGCCATCTTGGATCCGCAATATTGGACACAAAAAATGATTTTCAAATGAAAAGGTGGGGTTGTGACCCATCGTTTCAAACCAGATTATTAAGCTGAATACGATGCTGCAAGCTGTTTTTCAAAATTTTAATCCGTAAAAAATAAAAATAGAATAATAATCCCTAATAGAATTTTAATCCGTAATATTAAAAAATAATTTTTGTATACATTTGTACATTTGCAAATAGAATTCGCCCCTAATCTCCTAAATTTGCTAGATAAAAAAAACAAAGATAAATTGTTAAGACTGGGTCTAATTCACTTCATTTTAACGAATTATTTATTTTCGGACAATAAAATGTATACTAAAATTGTTTTTAAAAACTCCTTATAACTTTTTAACGGATTAGTTAAAAAAAACAGATTGCAGCATTATATTCAGCATAAAAATCTAGTTTGAAACGATGGGTCACAATCCCACCTTTACATTTGAAAATAATTTTTTGTATCCAATATGGTGGATCCAAGATGGCGGCTTAACATTTATACCCAGTAAAAATGAAGTACTTTCTACTCTACAATGATCTGCCGTGGTCCGGAGTTGATATCTTAAGAAATTTAGAAAAAAGTAGTGGGGGAACTCATTTAAAACTCACCCTGTATATACACATACATAATAATTTAAACGAATAGTGTTTTTGGTCTTTAGGAACATCAAAATGAAAAATAATATTGGTCTCGGCTCCAGGTCTTACCGCGCCACCTACGGTAATAGCTACTTCTCTATAGGGAAATTCGCTAAACAAATTTATTAACATCCAAAACAACTATACAACTGTTTCAATGTCATGAAGTATTAGAAAATATGGAAAAAATATCTGAGTAAATCAGTTTTAAGCTATTTTTCAATAACCATTTACTTTTTTGTAAATCTAAAACGTTATTATTTAAAAATGGTGGTATGCCGTAGACAATTTACTTGCTGATATAGCATGTCATTGAAATTGAAAACCAAATTCCATGAAAATATATCCTCTTAGACTGAAATTTGTCTGTGGTGGTACCAAATCTCTTAAATACATTCTCTATTCACTAGACATTTAATAAAGTAGGAACATGCATAAGAAAATAATTTGTTTAATAAACATCATTTTTATATTTCTTTTGTTCAAAATCATGGTATCTGAAACCATGTAACAGCTGAAACAGTGCAATTAAGTTATAAGTAACAATTGAATACATAACCTACCATCAGGATTACAGCTTGCAATTCTTGCAAAAGTTAAGTTCCCTAATGGTTTGATACTCAACTTTATGGGATTTAGGCTTCTAAGTGTGCTATTAATTACTCTAGTATTCCATCCATTCTAGAACAAAAATAAAAGACAAAAAGTAATTCAGTACAAAATTATTTGTATAAAGGAAAGTACAATAAATTTGTATAAGGAAGTAGTAAATGCGAGCTGTCCGGAGTGTGGGAACTGTTAATAAGGATTAGATTAAGGTATCTACAATCCTAAAATGCTATAGGAAGAGAGGGAAACATGTCCACAAGGTAGGCAATGGTGAAGGAAGTAGTAAAGGCAAGCAGTCCGGAGTGTGGGAACTGTTTATGACGAATAGATTAAAGTATCTGCAAACCTAAAATGCCGTGGGAAGGAAGGGAAACAGGTCGGCGACGTAGGAAGTAGTGAGGGAAGTAGTCAAGGCGTGCTGTCCGGAGTGTGGGAACTGTTTATGACGATTAGATTAATATATCTGCAATCCTAAAATGCTATGGGAAGGGAGGAAAACAGGTCCACGACGTAGGAAGTGGTGAAGGAAGTGGTCAAGGCAAGCTGGCCGGAGTGTGGGATCTTTTAATAAAGATTGCGTTACGGTATCTACAATCAATTATAAATTTATCAATTATCAATTATCAATCGTTGAGATGGGGACGCCACCTAGGTGCGTATTTTAACCCAAATATGAGTGAAGGATGAGTGTAGAATGGTGTGTGATGATTTGTGTAGCTTTGTTACTGACTAAGATCAGCAGTTTCATTAGTCAGGATCATTTATTTAAAGCCCAATGATCAGGAACAGCTGGGTCCAGTTTCGAACCATCAAAAAGCTACTGACTTTTCTCAGGATCGAACCGGCGACCTTTTGATTAGTAGGCGAGCACTATAACCACTCAGCTACCCAGCCAATCCTAAAATGCTATAGGAAGGGAGGGAAACAGGTCCGCGACGTAGGAAGTGTTGAAGGAAGTAGTAAAGGCAAGCAGTCCAGAGTGTGGGAACTGTTTATAACGATTAGATTAAGGTATCTGCAAACCTAAAATGCCGTGAGAAGGGAGGGAAATAGGTCGGTGACGTAGGAAGTGGTGAGGGAAGTAGTCAAGGCGTGCTGTCCGGAGTGTGGGATCTATCAATGATGATTACATTAAGGTATCTACAATCCTAAAATGCTATGGGAAGGGAGGGAAACAGGTCCACGACGTAGGAAGTGGTGAAGGAAGTAGTAAAGGTGAGCAGTCTGGAGTGTGGGAACTATTAATGACGATTAGATTAAGGTATCTACAATCCCAAAATGCTACGGGAAGGGAGGGAAACAGGTCTGCAACGTATGAAGTGGGGAAGGAAGTAGTAAATTCTATGAGAAGGGAGGATAAACAGGTCCATGACGTAGGAAATGGTGAAGGAAGTAGTAAGGCTAGCAGTGCAGAGTGTGGGAACTGTCTGTGGCATTTATGTGTAGTATCTGCAATTCTAAAATGGTATAGGGAAGGAGGGCAAACACAGGTCCACAACGTGGTGAAGGAAGTAGTAAAGGTGAGCAGTGCGGAGTTTGGGAGTGGATTAATGTATCTGCAATACTAAACTGCTTTCAGAGTAAACTAATGATTTTCCCTGAGCAAAGTTTGGTCCCCAGGTACTTTGGTTCTTTAAATTAAGCCGGAATGCTGTAGTATTACACATCTATCATGGCCATAATGTCCTACCACTGCACCTAAACAATATAAAATACCCCGCCGCAGCAAACCTGCAGACTAAGGAAATTTCATCTTGTCTGATAACATTTTTACAAAAATATTTTCATAAATAAGACATATTTATTCCCAATTTAAATAACATTAGATTTAATGAGTGCTTAGGTTTGCTGCTATGGTTTTTTTACCATAGGTCAATAGTTATAGGATGAAATAAATAAATTTGCCAAATTTTATTGACCTATATCCATAAACAAGTAAACTACAACAGTTTTCATTTTCTCCATAAGAATAACATGGGATCTTTAAATTACAATTTTTTGAATTTTCTCCGTGACTGTTAGGCATACAACAGCACTTCAATATGTATACTAAATTTTTGTTTAAGCTCTACAAAATGGTTTGGAAAGGAATTGCAAATTTTTATGTTTTTAGGAACCAAAATGGGAAAAACCCATTTTCACCCCATAAAACCCCCATTCCAATTGTCCGATCATGCTGGTTGGCAAACTCGTTCGAATAAATTTAGGTTTACACAGAACTTCATCAAAATCGGATCATTTTTGCTCAAGTTATTGTGCTAACAGTTGTGGGCCTATAATATATATGAATTGGAACGGATTGTAATTTTGACCTCTGGGGACCTCAAAACAAAAAAGTAAATCGGTCCCGGGTCCAGGTCTTACCATGAGACCTACGGTAATAGCTTATTCCTTATATGGGAAATTCGCTAAAGGTAAACTATCAATCATTCGCACAATATCACATATTATTCATTAGGGTAAGTTAAAAACATAAACATAAAGTTAACATGGAAAACTCCAGAGTCACTGGGGCGGAGCCCGATAGGATTTTTTAGATAAAAATATGTCTATGTTAATTGGGAAAGTGAGCTACCATTACCCCAAATTTCAGACCGATCCGAACAGTACGGTAGTTAATGCGTAAACGAACTTCAAATACAGATACTTTCGAATTTATAATATTAGTATGACTATACAGTAGAATTCCAACTATTCGGATCACTTGGGACCAAATACCGACCGGATTATTGATTTTTTTGAGATAATAGTTAAATTAAACAAAAGTAGTTTTAAATCAAATTGAATAATGTATATTTTGGCATTATATAGGCCTACATTATATATATGGGTGCAAATGGAAACACAGTATACTATATAATACCCGCGCCGCATTATATATATGGGTGCTAATGGAAACACAGTACCTGTATACTATATAATACCCGCGCCGCAGCAAACCTGCAGACTAAAAGAATTTCCATTTGCCTGATTGGATGTACACTAAAATACCTCCATAAAAATATCACATTTATTCCCTATTTAAATAGAACTAGTTTTACGAGTACATACTTAGGTTTGTTGCAACAGGGAGGGTAAAAAAGTGTTTTTTTGCAAAATGTTAAGAGTTTAGTAAAAAATGAATGTATTTTCCAAATTTCATCAAAATATGTTCATAAACAAGCAAACTACAACAGTTGACTTATTCTCCATAAGAATAATATAATTATGGGAATTTTAAATTTACAATTTTTTAGAATTTTATCCACGCACAATATAGGCCAGTAAAAATAGGTTTTTGCCCGGAAATAATTCTCGGAAAGCTGGAAATCGTTTTAATCCTTTTGTTTTATATAGAAGTAAAAGGATTTGAAGTTTGTCCCATTTTTCCAGGTGAGCTTCTGACCTGGGACCGCAAAAACCTTGAAATTTAGGGTTATTTTTTAGTTTTTTACTAAAACGTCAAAGAACCGTCCAGCCTACAGAAAAACACATAGTAAAGGAATTGTAGAGCATAACATTCCGCATCCATTGAGTATCTGATGATGAATATTGAACCAATATTAAATTATTTATAGTAATTTAAATAAAGTTATTTTATTAAGAAATTATTGAACATTGCATATTTAACATTTATATTTCTTCTAGAAAATGGATTTCAAGTACATTATTATTTACAAAGTAATAAATACGAATTACAAATACCCTCGCCGCAGCAAACCTGCAGACTAAGTGATTTTCCATTTACCTGGCTGGATTTATACTAAAATATTCCCAAAAAATTGTCAGATTTATTTCCTATTTAATTAACATTAATTTTAGTGACTACTTAGGTTTGCTGCTACAGGGAAGATATTGAAATGTGTTTTTTATTGCAATGTCGATAGCTTAGTATTAAATAAACAAAATTTCCAAATTTGGTTGAAATATATCCATAAACAAGCAAACTACATCAGTCTATTTATTCTCCATAAGAATAACATAGGAATTTAAATTTAATTTTTTTTAAATATTCCCCGTAACCGTTGGGCATACAACAACGCTTCATTATACAAAAAAAAATATTTATTTGTTTAAGCTCTACAAAATGGTTTGGAGAGAAATTATGAAATTTTGTGCTTTTGGGGTAAAAAATGGGAAAATATATTTTTACCCCATAAAACCCCCCATAAACCCCCGCTCACATAGTACTATTATGATGGTTCGTGAACTCATTAGAATAAATGTAGGTTTACACGTGGGTACCAAATTTCATCAAAATCGTTGTTGTATGCCCAACGATTACGGGGATAATTTAAATTTTTTTTAAATTTGTATTCCCATGTTATTCTTATGGAGAATAAATAAACTGTTGAAGTTTGTTGTTTATTTAAACCAAATTTTGATTTTGAAATTTTTCATTTAATAGGTACTAAGCTATCGACATTGCAATAAAAAAACATCTCAATATCTTCCCTGTAGCAACCTAAGTAGGTAGTCACTAATATTAATGTTAATTAAATAAGAAATAAATCTGACAATTTTTTGGGAATATTTTAGTATAAATCCAGCCAGGTAAATGGAAAATCATTTAGTCTGCAGGTTTGCTGCGGCGAGGGTATTTGTAATTCGTATTTATTACTTTGTAAATAATAATGTACTTGAAATCCATTTTCTAGAAGAAATATAAATGTTAAATATGCAATGTTCAATAATTTCTTAATAAAATAACTTTATTTAAATTACTATAAATAATTTAATATTAGTTCGATATTCATCACCAGATACTCAATGGATGCGGAATGTTATGCTCTACAATTCCTTTATTATGTGTTTTTCTGTAGGCTGGACGGTTCTTTGACGTTTTAGTAAAAACTAAAAAATAACCCTAAATTTCAAGGTTTTTGCGGTCCCAGGTCAGAAGCTCACCTGGAAAAATGGGACAAACTTCAAATCCTTTTACTTCTATATAAAACAAAAGGACTAAAACGATTTCCAGCTTTCCGAGAATTATTTCCAAGCACAGCCAATTTTTTAACTAATTTTACTGGCCTTTGTTTTTTAAGCTCTACAAAATGGTTTGAAAATAAATTTTGATATTTTGTGTTCTTAGGGTCAAAATTGGGAAAAAACCTATTTTTACCCCCCATAAAACCAAAGTTCCCATAGTTTGATCATGCTGGTTCGCAAACTCTTTCGAACAAATGCAGGTTTACATGGGGGAAGTGCTGATCTCGCACAACTAACTAACTATAGTAGCTACTGACTACTACTATAATAAATTCGTATATGATGAGATTTACTAGTTTTGGGCTTACTGAAATGGATTCAAAATACACTGGCCTCGTAATATTGTATTCGTTACGTTATGGGTTTAACACACCATCGTTCTTAATCAACTCAACTTTGCAGGTCCATTGGTTTAACAGGAGTGAAAATATAAAGATTTAGTAAAACAGATTTTAAAAACTACTATTTTACACCCTGGCAATAATTAACTCGGTTTACCTTATATCTAATGAAATACAAGACTTACACTTTTACTTGAAGTATCACACGAGTTAATTATGCTCCACCAATAACGATCTCGGGACAAGAAAACTTCTCGAATAGCCGTCGGCCGTCGTAGTTGCTGGTGAAGAACTAACTTTCACTTTTCTACTCGCCGTCTGAGGGTTCCTCGGATCATCCCTCTCGCTCCCCTCTCTAGCAAAGTAGGGGGCTCAGCTGATCCTAGACGTCTGCTGTTTGCTAACCCGAAAAAAGCTAGACGGCCGCCGTTGTGGTCATCTGCCTGCAGCCGCCAATGCCTAATAGTCACTAGTTACCGTAGGTGGCATGGTAAGACCTAGACCCGGGACCGATTTACTTTTTCATTTTGATGTCCTCAGAGGCCTTTACATATTTAATTAATTTCTCTTTGCTTGAAAACGTTTGTATTAAACAAAAATTTGCAATGTTTCACTTCTCATTTATCATAACGCTATCAAGAAATCCTCAAGAATAATATCTATTATATTATTAAAGTGATACAATCAAATTTTATGTAAACTGTTAAGGTCATTTACCAAGTAAAAATATAGGCATATGGCACATCAAAATGAAGCTTAGAGTGTGCAGATTTGCCGAAAAGTATTGATATGGACGAATTTTCTAAGGGCTCTGCCCCGCAGGCTGATTTCCAAAGGGCTACGCCTGGCATGCTTTCAATGTTTAAATGATTTAATTTAATTTAGCTAATGAAACAGCTGGTCAATACAATAAACTGGCGTTTGTTTACTCAAAAAAGATGTTTGTGTTGTGAGATATGTAGAATAAGGAGGGTTATGTTTGGTTTTAAATAAGTGAGGTTGTATACGTTTTGTAAAGTATTGTTCAAAGTTTCATTTTTTAAATTTAAGAGTATAAGCTACATATGTCAATAGGCTTGACTAAAATTGAAGAATTATGGTCAAACATGTCATTCATGAAGCATCAATATGAAGCAATTGATGCTATTGCTACACTAAGGTATGTGGTCATATTCTTAGGGATCTATTCTATTAACATCAAAAGTAGGGGTTTGAAAGTAAGTAGGTTTACGCTTTTAAATCAGTTTATACTGTATTTTCAAACTAAATCATAGATTTGCTGTATTTTAAACACACATCAGCACCACTTTAATTAGGTCACATTTTCTTCCCGTTGCAAAGCACGGGTATAGCAGCTTGTATATATATATATGTGTGTGTGTCCGTGAACACGATAACTTGAGTAATTTTGGTCCGATTTTGATTAAATTTGGTTTGAAGTTGTAAAGCGGGATAAACTTGAATGAGTTCGCAAACCGGCATGATCGGACCATGGTAACGGGGTTTTACGGGGGTTTTGTGGGGTAAAAATGGGTTTTTCTAATTTTTTTCCTTCTAAACACAAAATTTCCCGATTTCTCTCCAGACCTTTATAAAGAGCTTAAAAAACAAATAATTAAGTATATCAAAGTGCTTTTGTACAATTTTTGGTTACGGAGAAAATTAAAAAATTGTTATTTTAAAATTCTTGTGTTATTCTTATGGAGAATATTGTAAAATGTTGTAGTTAGCTTGTTTATAAATATATTTTGATCAAACTTGGTAAATTTATTTATTTTATAATAAGTTAATAATATTTTACTAAAAAAAAACACAGTTTTTACCCTCCCTGTAGCAGCTAGCCTATGCACTCATAAAACCTAATGAATTAAATACATTTAATTGAAAATCAATTCAGGCAACTGGAAATTTGCTTAGTCAGCAGGTTTGCTGCGGCGGGGGTATTTTGTGTTTTCTACAAACATTTCCTGACTTATAGCCGCATAAGGTTGTCCATGTTTATCTTCGTTATTGATAACCCTAAGCATGGTACCACCCTTGTCGCCAGCAGTAAGTTTAAAAATTCAGTCATCTATAGGCCTACTTATTTAATACGCAAGCAGGTTTATTGTGACAATTACTCCTCCGAAACTACTGAACCGATTTACATGTTCTTGGTGTCATTGGAAAGAGCGTAACGTGAAGTTGTGCAGGAAACTTTTATTTTAGCGAAATAATAGAGGGTTAGGCCCTGGGGCCCTTTAAAGTTTCGTATTTCTCCATAAGATTAACATGGGAAACAAAATTGTTATGAAACTCCAGCTGTTGTCAGAAATTAAAAGTGAGAATAAGTACATATGTTAATTGTAAACAGTCAATAAGTTTGCTAATTTACAGTTAGTTTGCTACAAACATTTTAACATTTAATTACTTGGTTGAAATGAAATAGTTACTATTTGAATTTGGGTTGGCGTAAATATTACACTTGAAAAAAACGAGTGAACCTGGATAAATTGATATACTAAAAAGAAAACTGAATTAACACTGTGCTGCATTTCTTAGTAATCATTGAAAGAGACGATTTGCAAACTATGGAAACTAGGAAAATCATAGAGCATCACCAAGGGGAAGAAATGGAAATAATGTGTGTTTTCTTTTTGTTTTTTTTAAAATCGTTATTATGGACAACCTAATGCGGCTATGAGTAAGGCTTTGTAGAAAACACTAAAAAACCAAATCAGCTTTTGAAAAATGATAAGATATTTACAAGAAATGTTGATTACATCGATCTGTTATGTACATGTTGAGTATTCCATAATCTTTGAGTCAAATCTTTTAAAATCATCAACAATTATGACTGTTATTCGTTTTAAAATAACGCCTGTAATACTTAGCAATTGCTCGATTTTGAGCAACAGGGACACTAGTCTATATATATATAAAGCTCAAATACCACTGACTCATTCACTCACTCATTCATCACGAAATCTGAGAAACCATAAGACCTAGGAACCTGAAACTTGGCAGGCATCTTCCTTTTGGGTAGTAGACGCTCACTAAGAAAGGATTTTACCCTCCGACCTCTGGGCTCCGCCCCAGTGGCTCTGGAGTTTCCCATGTTAACCTTATGAGTACTCATATTTAAATGGAATTAATGAATCTTAACAGCTGTTTCAATTAAACAAGTTGGTTCTGTTCTATGATCTTCAATAGCATTAAAGTTACAAGGATTACCAACAGGGTGCAGCACTATTATTTATTTTACATTTATGACAACAGCTAATTTGCAACCAAAATAAGGTGAGTGAGCGTAGCGAACGAACTTCAACCTGGAGGCGAGTTAGCGTAGCGAACGAGCTGATGAGCTCCAACCCAAAGGTGAGTGAGCATAGCGAACGAGCTCCAACCTAAGGGTGAGTGAGCGTAGCGAACGAACTTCAACCAGGACGTGATTGAGCCATGCGAACAAGATCATCTTGAAAATTAAGAAGTTAAACGGGGCAAAGCCCGCGGGTTACAGCTAGTTCTTTAATATTCCCCCCCTAGAATTTTGCGTCACAGATATAGACGCACATGGTCTTCACACCTTTAAATTAGTTGTATTTATTAGCCACCTGATTCACCATCAACTAAGTTTTATAATTTCTCTTGATTGTGATGTGTTAACCATAAAATACATTTTTGATATGTATTGAGCTACAAAAGATATTTTCATATCTTTGTACTATCCTTACAGGATAGTGTTAAACTTTTTAACTAAAAAAACTATAAGTACAATATTGTACATACCTCTATGTCAGTGACAAGATCAAGCAGATAAGTATCGTCTAGTAGAAATCCTTCCACAAATATGTTTAACGATGAAGACCTACATTCATCTGAACTAGTTGGACAGTGGAAAAAAATTACAACACACAGTGTTTCAGACTTTGGAGTGAAAACGGGGCTGACCATAACATGTTTTGTTGAATAGAGTCCTGAAAAAAATAAAATAGTTACTTTTTTAAAGCTATTAACTTTATAAGGGGATCTACAAAGGTACTACAATGTAGAAAGCGGACTGTTTTACATCTCTATCGATCTATCATTGTGAGCTTAGTTTTTTTTAGCTATACCTATTAACACATGAGAGGATAAAACATGATAAAACTTTCCTTAGATATGTCAAAAATTTTAATCAAGATAGTTTTGTATTCAATGAATATTAGAACAGAAACTGTAAGGATCATAAACATAATCAAAATGACTCTCTAACTGGCATGAACCCTATACTAATAACATTAACGTTGGACAGTTCCATTTAAGTAATGTTACTGATAACAATTAACATAATTACTGTTTAATAATGTTTACTTTTGGCTTTTGGGCCAGTGTCAGTGAGATATTTTATTTAGGTTCATGATCAAGACTGTTTTTTTTTCAGGCTAGACCTAGGGGTTGCGGCATTATCACTTAGATAAAATCCATTGGTGACTTGACGGGGATCGAACCCGGGACCTCACGGACCGAAGTCCCGCGCTCTAGCCACTACACCAGCTCGCTCCCCACCATCCACTACATTAATATGAATGGTCTTTAAAATGAATTACCTTGTAAGCTTAAGCTCTTGAGCAAGTCATTTTATCATCCTATGCACATTTCACTGTAGGTGTGACATGTTCAGGGATGTCTTGCACATAACTATTTCATTTGCGTGGTTTTTCATCACACTGTCAAACTTACTAAACCAAACCTAAACATTCTCACCTTAACTACTTGTAGAGTAATTGTGAAAGGAAAGAGACCTCTGAAGATGCTGTACTGCATCACATGCCCATGCCACAAAATGTTCATTGGATTGCAAAATAACTTGCTCTAGAAATCAGGCAAAAATCTCATATATTAAATTTTTTTTTTCTTTTCCGAGTTCGTTTGGCTCTCTACCCGGGCTTATCCCAACTCCGCGCGGTGGTCAGAAATATGTCAAAACTGATTGTCTAACTCCGCACGGTGGTCACTTAGGGTGCCTCGCGGCACATGTTCAACTCCGCACTGTGGTCAATTTTGGCTCTCACAGCCCTGACGGCTGTGAGTTTGTATTTAAAGTTTGAAATTGTTATAAATTTACATAATTTAGAACTGTAGGAAACCACAGTAACGAATAAAATAAACTTAATTATTACAAAATAGAATATTTTTGTTTCATTTTAATTTACCTATTATTAACCTAACCTAACCTAACCTAACCAAACCTAACCTGTCACATGAATAAGGTAGCTATGAACAAATAAAAGCGTATCATTACTTTGGGGACACACGGTATGTATATAGAATATTTTATATTAAACAGATCATAAAAAAAATATCTCATACGAAAGCACAACAAGGTAGCGTAGAGATTAGATGTGGCCACCACGCGGAGTTAGACTATACACTAAAAGTGACCACCGCGCAGAGTTGGACTGGACCCTTCGGGGGCCATAAAACTTTTCCTCGGTTTAAATTTGACCACCGCGCGGAGTTGGGCTATCCCCCTCTACCCGACCGATTTTCATGATTGAAGTCTCAAATTTGAAGGTACACGCACAGATTTGCCATCAAGCATCGGCATATATTTATCTACAACCCCAGTCGGTTTATACAAGAACGAAATTTGCTCCCCATGTATTTCTTATCGGTGATAAATTTGGTTTTTCTTTTCCGAGTTCGTTTGGCTCTTCTACCCGACCGATTTTCATGATTGAGGTCTCAAATTGAAGGTATGCACACACAGATTTGATATCAAGCATAGGAAAATAATTATCTATAGTCTCACTCGGTTTATACGTTAACGAAATTTGCTCTCCATGTATTTCTAAAGGGAATTAAATTTGTGATGTGTCTTTTCTAACATAACTTACTGTATGTTAAAAAAAATACCATATGTTATGCTTAATAAGTTAACTTTGTTTTTGTTTACAATCATTGTTATTTAGGATTCATTTCAGAATACACCTATTTTTTTTACACACCTTTTATTTAATATGTAACAGTTTGGCGACGAGGAAAACCAGTTTTTAATTTTTTTACATTCTATTTATTAAATTTTTTTTAATATGAGTGACCTAAGTAATACTGAAAGTTTTACTGATATAAAGAAGATTAGAGTAGTAGTGAAGGGTCAGTTGTCTAAGGCTGAAAGATGGCTAGCAAACCTACAAAACATGTCAAAAGAAGTAATCAAAACCAGGATAACAACAATTGAAGAGTATTGGGAAAGATTTAATTCTGTACAGCAATTAATAGAAGAGAAAACTGAAGAAGTTGAAATTGAGAAAGAAATAGATTACAGAGTAGAAATGGAGGACAAATATTACAAGGTAATGGATGAGTTACAAAAACGTATGGGACAGCTTGCAGAACTACAAGTGAACATTCAAAATATTCTGCCATCATTTTCTGTACATCAAATTTGTCTTCTCCACAACGTCGATCCACTATTTCCTCAATGATTTTCACACCATATCAGGAAAATGAATCATTCAAGAACTTTATTCGTCGATTTGAGATATTTCTATATCTACATAGCCAAGAATTGGAACCAAAGGATCAAGTGTATACAATGCTACATGCCTTAACGCCACATTTATATCAGAAGCTGTATGATTTGTGCGCTCCTGAAAGTCCTTTGGATAAAACATATGCTGAATTAGTAAGTCTTTTGGCTGATTATGTTGACCCTAAACCTAGTACTTGCTGGGCCTTACAACACAAATTTATGACAAGAACACAAGAATCTGAAGAAACCGTAAAAATATATTCCGTTGAGCTTCAAAAGCTATCTTCGGACTGTGACTTCAACTGTAATAATTGTGGGAAATCAATTGCAAACACATTACTACGCATGCAGTTTATAAGAGGTATTAGCAATTCAGACATAAGAACAAAATTATTACAAGAAAGATCTGCTTCATCGTTTCAAGATGTAGTGAAACTTGCCTCCATCATGGAATTGGCAAAGAACGAAAGCCATATAGTAGAAGAAAACATTCATTCAAATGAGAAAATCAACAAGATAGCAGGTACAGAAACAAAACCACCCCATTTTTCTCCTACTTGGAACAAAAATTTAAAGTCTCCATTTGAACGCCTCAAAGGTAAATGCTATCGTTGTGGATAACCTAGACACAGGGCACATCAGTGTAAATTTATTGGAGAAATATGTAAGAAATGCAACAAACAAGGGCATATTGCTAGCGTATGTTTAGGCACAAAACAAACAGAAATTCATTGTACCGAAACTGACAATGCTATAGACTATTATAAGGAAGAGAAACAAGAGGTTTTTATGATACACAACCAGAGTGCCGGTAATGACAAGATTATGGTCGAGATACTTATTGAAGGTAAACCTGTGCGGATGGAGTTAGATACTGGAGCAGCAATAAGTATTCTACCATACTCTACCTTCAAAAGTCTCAACATAAATAAAAAGATTTTCCACACAAACATAGAACTAAGGGCATACTCAGGTGAAATAATCAAACCCCGGGGTGTCGTCTTTGTAGAATGCGCTTACAATGATCAGGTGTTTGTTGGTAAACTCTACATAGTGAATCAAAATTTCGATGCAATTTTCGGAAGAGAATGGATTAGAGTGGTCAAACTGGATTGGGCAGAACTTAAAACAGTTAGTAGCAATACTACATCTACTGAACTCGAAGATCTTTTGGATGAATTCAAAGAATTATTTGAACCAGGTGTAGGACTCATACCTCACAAAAAAGCACACTTACTCCGCTTGAAGGGGCAAAACCTATTTTTGTGAAAGCTCGTCCAGTCCCATATGCACTAACTGAAAAAGTAGAACTCGAGTTGAATCGTCTGGAAGAAGCTGGAATCATTTCCAAAATGGACAAGTCCGATTGGGGTACTCCAATTAATTGTACCTGTAGTAAAGCCTAACGGTAACATACAAATATGCGCTGATTACAAGGTTACAGTAAATAAACAAATAAAAGAAGAACATCATCCAATACCTCGGATCGAAGACATTTTTGCTCAAATGAATTGAGGGCAGTTGTTCTGTACTTTGGATATCTCCACTTGGAAATGGATGCTGAGAGTGCAGAAATACAAACTTATAGCACTCATAAAGGACAATACACAGTTAATAGACTGATGTTTGGTGTAAAAGTTGCTCCAGGGGTTTGGCAAAAGGTAATGGACGGAATCCTTCAAGACCTTCAAGGTGTTCAGTGCTTCTTCAACGATATAATAATTCAAGGAACATCATCAAAAGAACTACTAGAAAGATGTTGTAAGAAAGACTTAGTAAACCAAAAGTATGGCTTTTATTCATTCAAAATTACAACCATGTTTTAGTTAAGGACAAATACAATACTTACAAACAAATCAAATAATAAATATTATCAGGTGATAATGTTCACATCACCACATTTTCCCCCACTATTTTTCAAGGTAGGTATAGCATATGTAGGAGGCTTGACATTCCTCTTTGGACGTAGTTCCCCCACAGCCGTCTCTGAAGTTGTGGTCTGAGATACCATTTGTTGAGTTTCATTTTGAACTTCATTGTGGTCAATGTCTGAATTTATATTTTCAACAATCTCTCTCTCAGTAGTGTTGTTTTCATGAGGTAGATCACCAGGAGGTAGGCCAGCGGGTGCAAGATGTCTCAGCGATACTTGTGATTCTGACCCATCTCTTCTTCTGACGAGAGCGTACTGTGGATTTGATTCCAAAAGTTGAACTGGCTCCACAAGGTCATCATATTTATTAGATCTTACAAACTTTCTAAGCAGGACAGGACCAGGAGCGGATAGCCAAGATGGTAACGAGTCTCCATTGGTAGTTCTTCTGCTATGTATAAAGAATCTTTCGTGCGGTGTGCAGTTTGTCGCAGTGCATAAAAGAGATCTGACTGAGTGAAGAGCCTCCTGTAATACTTCTTCCCATGCAGCAACTGGCAGGTTGTGGTTTTTCAAAGCTAGTAGGA